CTAGTTTATTCTTTCTCAATACAACTTTGTAATACACTTAATTTCCACAGTCACGTTGACTTAAACACACGCTATAATTCACAACGATTTACCCCCTTTACTTACGGCTTGACTCGATTATCTGTCTATATCTTCAATCTCTCTGTCTGCTATTCCAGTTCCGTTTAATTTTCTCGCTTTATCTGGCGTGCTTATATACAGGAATAGAGAGCGTCTAGCAAATACTGGATTATTCGTGATGTTCCCCGATCCTTCTAGAAACTCGTCACGTGTTACCAGCGTCACGTCACTTCTGCTGTCGTAACAATATATATATACAGGCCCAGTAACAAATGGTCCAAAAAATGGCGAACATTCTGTTTGTTTGTTTGTTTCTAATTAAGCACGAAGCTACACAATGGGCTATCTGTGCTCTGCCCACCACGGGTATCGAAACACCGAAACAAGAATATGGTCAGAGTTGTTGATGGTACAACAGTTGGTTTTTTGCTGCTTGTAACAGAGACATCTTGGATACAGTTCTACACGAGATAGTATTATGCAACACACTTATCTAAAGTGGTTCAATACAGATCTCTAATTAGCTGTGATGATAATGAACTTTTCTGAAGGGAACAGACTGTGTTTTTTGTAGGCTACAATATCTTAGACCAAAGATATTTCAGGTGGCGCTCGTGTCTCGCATGCAAATAATTTTCTAGCCAATTCTGTATATAAGAAAAACTGAGCCTGCCACACAGTAATATTTAACGAGTACTCGTGAAACTGTTCGAATCTCACTACTGTTTTCTTCTCCGACAGCATTTCAGCAGTCTCGAATCAAATGGCTTTCGTGACTCGGAACCTGGCAGTTTGAATTAACGTTTAAGTGTCAGTTAATACTGTCTGGATATAGTGATAACCGGATTTATAAGAGGATAAAATAATTAGCAACAGAGTGGGAGTCGCGTTATGAAAACAAGAAATAAGACAATTGTCAGCGTGTCATAGGTAGTGACAATCAGGTATATAGACAAAAACATACCAGTGACATCACCAGTGTGAAACGTATAAAAATATCAAAACTGTTAAAACACCAAGTGTAGACAGAAAGAACCTGCATTGTACCAACATATAAATAAACCAATAGATTTAATATATTAGCAAAATAACGAATGTCAAATGTACAAAAATTTAAATAACCAAAGATACAGAAAGAGTCGGGAATATACTGTATGTACCGGATAAAAAAGGAACTAGCAATAAAACTGAGTCAGTGTATGATACCTAAGAGGCTCAATAGTATTTTTTGGTTTGCTGACTCAAGATGTGCTGATGAATATGCGAAAGTGTAGTCCACGGCAAAAAGTACGGCCAATCAAAGATGCATTAGGCCTCTACATTTGGTGAAAACGAAAATAAATATTTAACATAGATATACATTTGAGTAAGTGTATTATACACAAAAAATAATAAATGAAAAAATATGAAATACAAACATAGTAAGACTCAGATACAAATAATGTAATAAGATAATAGAAAGATGGAAACAACTAGCGATACGTATGAATATATATATATATACATA